TTCTTACACCCCTAGACAGTCGTAACTGGGAGCGTCATGCACCCGTCACGCTGACTTGGTTTGATTACAGTCCAGCCCTGAACTGAGGATGATCATCGGTCCCCTGATYTTTAGTTCAGTAATGCAGCTCTGCAGGCTTCCTCCTGTTTTATACGTCTTTGCTCTGAAGCTCCGCACTCCTCCAGCTCCCTGCGTTCCCAGGGGCTTCCTCCATCTGTTCACAGAGAGATGAAAAAAGAGTCAGATCAGACTGCTTTCATTCGCCGCGGAAAGAGTTTTTATGGAAACAGACACTTAAAAACAAACTTTTGTTGATGTTCTGKGGTTCAGTTTATTCAAGCCAATAAACGGAGCAAATTAAGTCCCGGGTTAATCGGAGCGTTTCCTCACAAAAGCTCTTATTGAGAAGAGGATTGTGCAGTTCTTCCTGACCTGAGYTGTCCTCTTAATCATGGACACAACAAGAATCCGGCAGCTCTGAACCGCCTGGTTTGACATGTCTCGTTTTYGGAACGTTCCCTCTCAGGTTGCCCCGCAGGGTAACAGTGGGGCAGTTTAAAGCACCTGTCAGGGCGGTCGCTCCGTCAGCAGCTGACCTCTTCATTCACATCCTTTTAATATACAAAAACCAAACAGATGAGGCTTTGTGGAGATGAACGCATGAATTCTTTGTTCATGTGAGTCATTTTWGGCAGCATGTCTCGTCAAAATGTCTGATGAATGTTGGATTATTTTTATTTAAACGTCAACATTTTTAATTGTCTTTCACAAACTTTGGGAAAGCCTTGGCACACCTTGTTGAGCTATTTCTGTCAAAGCTGTTTATTAAAGAATATTATTGCAGTTTTCCGCCTCTGTGGGAACAGCTGCTGCTTCCTCAAACACGTCTGCTGATTTATGAATGACTCAGTGTCACAATATAATCTGCATTTTTATGAGTTCTGGTTTGTTTTTGTTTTTTTAATATATATTTTACAGCTCTGCTGTCTTTGATCCAGCACGCCTGATTGCAGCAGAGCCGGTCTGTTTTTGTCTGTGCCACCCCGACCTGTTATCCTTGTAACATTTGAAAACACACAACTTTACTTTTGTGGGGAAATTAATCAAAGGAAATTAAACATTGACACTAAGTGTTCAAATAAACCCATTCTTGGTAATAGAAGAGGCTTAGTGCAAAGCACCCATCAGCACTTTTCACCTCTCATGGCTAAATCTTCTGCTCTGATAGACCATAGGAATAAAACAAAAACCATTAATCTGTGATTTGAGAGAAAAGTTCAGCTTCAGCTGGCATCGTAGCTTTATTACAGCTGGTCGGAGGAGGAGAAACTCAGTGTTGCTGCTGCTTTTTGAGCCTCCTCCAGCTAAACAGTTACAGAAAAGCTGCAACAAAAAGCCTTTTGACTTGACTTTTAATGAATGAATGATTTATTTATTTGGGACAATGTGCAATTAAAAACATAATTTGATGCATTGCACCAGATTTAGCCTAAGGCTAATTTTCATCTGTAGTCCCATCAAACAGTAAAAACAAAACAACATCCAACAGTAAAATGGAAATAGGAGAGGGAAAAAAACAGAAGAATAAAAATAATATAAAATAAAACATTTTGCAATAAAAAAATACAGTTTGAGTGAAGATATATAGAGTGAAGAAGATTAAACATGAGCTCACATTATTTATGGTCAAAAATTAAGAATTCGTGTGCATCATGGACTCAATGTGTTCCTTTAATTTTATATCTATGGTGCTTAAAATCACTAAAATGTTCCTAAATTTAATTCAAAAGTGAATAAAATATTTAACCAAATAAATTGCATCAGGCTAAAATTAAAAACCTCAGCAAAAGTAAAWAGTAAAGTTGTTGTAGACCTCCATGAAAGGCAGGCAAGCCTGTATTTTTTTAGTGTGTTTATCTCTCTGTTAGCAAAATATTTCATGAACCACTGGATGGATTTTAATGAAAGTRCTCAAYTTATCAGTGGAAAACYTATGGCATTCAAGGCAGCGGGTAAAATGCATTTCTTCAAGAAATGCTGTGCTCATTTATTATAAGGATTTATAGTTTTAGTGTTTTTATTTTAAAGTAGTGACAGAAATAAATATGGGGTGACTTTGAGCAAAGTTTACAAAATTATTATGCAATTATTGAAATCATTAACCCAGTTTCAGGCCTGGTGGGTCATTTTGACCCCAAGGAGGGTTAAAAGAAAATGAATACAAATATATATTCAGAAAATAAATCAGAATACTGACTATTGCAAGTGATTCTTTTCTCCTCGAAGTTTAAAAACCTCCAAACTATGTTGATTTTCATATTCAAAAACTTAATTTTTGTGATTTTTCAAACTAAAAGCATCAAATAGACTGTGTTTGAAGGTCTGCAAAAAAGTCAGATTTTGTTTGTTTAACTTTTTTCTCTGAAAAAGGCCAGATAAATCAAAAACATCAAAGCTCACATGTTGTCTCACATCCTGCTTTTCCTGTAATTTGTCACTCATCCATAGTTGCAGTTTCTTCAGTTTCCCAACATGTGTGAGGTGCCGTCAGACTAAGAATAGGTCTACTACAGCAGATTAGTCTCTTATCCTAGTGAGTGATGGGAGAACAAACACGGGGACAGATGGTGGTCAACAACCAACAAACCCTCATGGTTCGTTCATCCTGTGATCCATCCTGTGACCTGTTGATGTAATGTTATCTGGTGAAGCCTCTGGAGGGGTCATGGGATCTGAGGGGACATACAGGGAGGAAGCTGTCAGCGTTTTCCACACCGGCTGTGTGAAATGAAGCTGAAGTCAGACCAGAGAGCCGGCGTGAAAAGAAGTCTTCTAGGAACGGCTGGCATGTTCGCGAGCTTTCAAGGAACTGTTCTGATAGTTCATATTACTCTGGCATTCATGCCTCACAGTGACACACTGTAACTCCTAAAGCAAGCTGGGGTTTTACTTTTTTATGGGGCTGTGTTTACTAGCATGCTAGAATAAACTTCTTAAATTTTCTTTCTGAATTACCAAACAAACAACCTAAAAACACACGAGGAGGCTGCTTTCAGTGTAATCAATATGTTAAAATAATGAAAAACTAATAATCTTTTTCCTTCAAATCTTCAAACATGCATGATTCTTTACAAGGATTCTCAGAGGGTAAAATCATACATCTGAACAAAGTAAACAACAAAACCACAGGGTCGGCATTAAAGAAGCACCATTGTGGAAAAACAACCAAACCCAACTCAGAGTGAAGGCTGTAACTTACATCCTCCGCCTACAAAAGCAAATATTTTCACTGCTTTTGTTAAACCTTTAGCTGTTAAAGTCTAAGTTCTGTAATCCTTCAAGAAGAAAAACAACTTTGTTGGCAGGATGAGAATAACCAGGATTTCAAATGCCAGGAAGATCAGTTTACCGTCAAGCCGAGTGCTCTTCAGCTCAGAAGGGCAGCTGAGTGTTTGTAACGTAAAACAGTAAATTCTTTAAGTTGTGGTGCAAGTGTCAWGTCAGCTGGGACGCAAAGTAGAAACTATTCAGACGTAAAGTTCASTCGATCAGTATTGCACAATCATGGTTGTAACAGAGAAATTCAATTTAGTTGCTCAATGGCACTCAAGTAATGAAGTGGAGCAGATAGCAAAATTTAAATCTTGTGTCATGACGCTTATAGCACTGTTCACCTAAAATCCAAAGTCTTTGTTTTTAGTTGTCTTTTTCACACCCTCAGTGTTATTTATTACACTGTAGTTTGAGCTGCTTGTGATCGCTGCTTAAGACCACTGCTTGGTTCAGTTTTGACTTCGGAAATAAAACGTTTAGCGATGAGAAAGGTTACGAGCTCCACTTGAAATGCTTTAAAAATGTCTCTCAAACCCTCCTGAGGTTTTATCAGTTTCACCGCTTTCATAAAGTCATCTTTGTTTAAACTGTCAACAAGCAGGGGGGATACTGCGTTGCGTTTCACATGACTGCTGCGTCAAAGAAGGCATTTTTTACTTTGTTGACCATCTGATAGAAACCTGAGGCTCATTCCACTCATTTTACTCATATCTTAACCACTGAAACCAGGATATCRGAGTAGCCACTTAGTAAAGGGTGAGGGCCCACTCAGCCACGTAGAAGAACACTTAAAACGATGTTGAGTGGAAAAAAATTGTTTTTTCYTGCTGCTTCTTCATGACTTACTGGTTCAGTGGTGTCAGTGGCTAKTAGGGTTGGGCATCGTTTGAATTTGAACGATTCCGGTTCCCAATGATTCCCAATTTTGATTCTTTTTAGAGGCAGGGTCAAAAAGGGTTTACATGGTTTAAAAGAGGTAGCTGATCAGAGTTTTTTATATAGGTGAAGAGAATAAGATGTTATGAATTTATTTTTCACACAGGGATACTTTGCAAAACTTGTCCATCTAACCAAATCGTACACTTACATCCAAAGAGTATTCTTGATCTTGATTTGAGATGATATAAGCAAGAGCAGAGTGTGATTATTAATCGTTAGCGTGGAAATGTTTTCCTCATTTCAAGTCTAAAGCGCAATTGTCTTACTGCACTGGCAGATTATTTCACTTAATTTGACAATCTGAGTCAAATTCACCTGTTTTTTTTTTTCTTCGTTTGTGTTGGGCAGCTTCTTCTCCCAGTTGTTGGACTGGGTGTTGAAATTAGGTGTCAAAATTTAAAAGTTTGAACGATTCTGAGAGAATTGAAACYTTAGTCCCATTTCCAATCAATACTTGCGACTCGATATCCAACCCTAGTGACTACCAGCTGATTTTGTGTTGTTTAGTAAACTTAAAGTATTCATCAAATACTCAAACCAGTTAGGATTAAAACCCACAGATCCTGAACCATGTTCAGCTCCAGGTCTGCTACTCAGATTGTGTTTTGCTGTCTGAAGTCAGATTTTCGCCACTGTTTGCTCACTTAAAAACTCTCTTGCATCGTGAAATTTGAATATGCAGCTTATGTAGGTCTTGAGGGCAGGATAGAAAAGCAGATATCTGTGAAGCGAGCTGAATTAGGAGGTGCTTCTCAGAAACCATCAATCAGCGAGCGGGTTGATGAATTAAATATAGAGTCGGTGAATAAAAGGCCCCCGTTCTCAGCTGCTACACATCGACGGTCAGGGCTTTAGTTACCATTGTGAAAACAAAGTTCATGTCCTCTGCATTGCAGGAATAAAGGGACATAAAATGTCATTTATGTTTCATTATGCTGAGTTTATAGATTATAGATCCTGTGAGACAATTTTTGATAAAAATGTCTGTCATGTTTAARAATTACTCATGTAATCACAATCATTTAAAATGGCTGATTAAATCTTCATCATTTCCATAATAGTCTATTAATCTGAAAACAGTAACTTATGAAATCCCTGATAGTTTTTGTTTCGCTAATAATTTGATTTTCCTTATAATAAAGTGGTGGCAGTGATGAGKCTACAGATGTATTGATATAATACTATGGGACTTTATTTCTTAAACAAGTTGMTCGTCATCTCAGCTGTTTTTCTTTAGGAAAGAGTCTGAGCTCTTCCCCTAACAACAGTACTCCTTCACAATAATCTAATTTTCAGTCAACACAGTAATTGTACAAATTAGGTTGGAAATTATTGTAAATGCAGCTCCAGTTAGGTCCCCTATGTCAGTGAAAGAGTTCAGTMTTTTTATAGCTTTGTTTTGAATCAGACAGACTAAAGCCGGGTTCCCACCAAACGCTTCTTGAGCAGCAAAAATGCTCCTGARGCATGTTTTTGGCTGCTTGTCKACAGATATCCMTTCAGACCGAAAGCGTCTGAAGARGCACAATGGGAGGAGCGTCTTTGTTCTTTTTCTGGTCTGTTGACAGTTGAAATAAAGATAAAATAAATAAAATGGCTTTGCTTTATTTACTAAAGAGCAAGCGAACATTGTGCACAGCAGACAATTAATTCGCCAGATAATTTAGAGGCGCTCTGACAGACTGGCGTTACACCATATTTTGTGACCATCAAATATTGTGACCAAAGGGGGCGCTGTTGCYTTTCTACAGCAGAACTTGGCCGAATATGGCCACAAAGAAGAATATGYTACGCCAAGAGTGTAAGCCAGAGGCTGAAGACATACGAAGAAAAAAACAAAAACTGTTGACTGTTGTTATTATACATGGTCACAGAATATGACAGATGTCATATATTGTGACTTCACTGTAGCAAAGGAAATAGTAAAAAATTTTATTTAAAAACTATTTATGCTAATTGTTTAAATCCTTTAGTGTCAGAAAAATAACTTTTGATCACTGACATGGTGACTGTTATTAAATTAGTACAGGGTCAAATAGTAGGCCAATAGTAAACATGCCAATGATCAGAAGTTGTTTTTCTGACATTAGAGGATACAAAGAGTAGAATCAGTTTATGAATAAATATTTTTATTATTTACCAAGCTACAGTGAAGTCACAACATATGACAACAGTTGTCATATTTTGTGACCTCTGGGTTACACTTTTGGCGTATCATATTCTTCTTTGTGGCTATTTTCTGCCAAGTTCTGTTGTAGAAACGCAACAGCGCCCCCTCTGGTCACAATAAATGATGGTCACAAAATATGGTGTAACACTGGGACCAGACTAGAGGCTGTAGAGGGAGGAGGGTCTTGGTGAAATAAAGGTAAAATAAATAAAATGGCTTTGCTTTATTTACTAAAGAGCAAGCGAGCGTTGCACAGAGCAAATAATTAATTCACCAGATAATTTAGAGGCGGTTTAGTTTCGCCACTCCAGTAGCTGCGAGCTGAGGGACTTTTTTGTCTCTGTCGCATCCTACCACTACCTTGTGCGCTGCTCTAAACTGCCAAAACGCGCCGCAACACGCTGTGCTGCTCCAAGATGTGCGTCCACCATAGACTTTGCATGTAAACTGGCTGCTTTGGCTGCTCAAAACGTGTTTGGTGTGTACCCGGCTTAAACGCTGTTCACCAGGAAGTGAACGTAGTGCTTATAAAATTTGCATTTGTCCTTGGTTTTTATTATGTCGCCAARCCTTGAAGAGAGCCAGTGTTTGCTCTGATTCTGCAAAGAATCAATGCAGCACTGATTTATATCCTGACGTTGGTTCTGTCATGGTCAAAACAGGAAATAAAAAAAAATTGTGATCCTGAAAATTCGCCCCGACTCTGACCAAGCACTGGAACCAATTTTGTGTTTGTCGAACTCTAGAAAGGATAATTTTGTATCTGTAAATGTTTTCGTCAGGATGGGTATTAATTTTTAAATATTGATGATCTGGGTTAAATAGAACTAAAAAAGGAGAAACGACTTGAAGCACCCAGCATCTGTTGCTGTCATTGTATTTTATTTTGAAGGGATTTTAAAGTGGAAACTGGTCACGGGTGAGCTCAGCTTTACCTATCGACAATGATCCATTGGACTAATAAGAATCAAACAAAAGGGAAAAAACCCTGACAAGCACATGTTTATGTACTTGAAGCCTCTGTTTCATTAGAGGGTTTTTCAGCTTCAGAATTTTTGAGGATTAAACTTAATTTACCAGAAGTGTTCATCCCAACTGGATGAAAACAGTACATTTATYAAACAATAAAACAGGTAATGGGTAACAGCAAAAAAACAGTTTAWAAGCAGATAAAGCATCTTAAGGATTTCTAATCTCAGCTGATTTATGATTTTGAACTGAGACTTTTGCTTTAATAATTAGCCCTGCATTAGTAAAAACTGATTACACACCATGAGACACACATGAATTGCTGCATGCTGATTTTYTGTTTCTGGTAGGTGGAGCAGGAGGTTGAATAGCTGAAGAAAAATCAGCTAATTACAGACAAATTGAAGAGTATTCYGTGCTTGACTGATTTTAGATTACACTTATTAAACCTTCAAACTCGATCTGTTTGTCTTCAGTGTCTTCATCTCGTGTGTAGCTGACTCCCACTAATGAGCTGTGGCATTCTGAGCGTGCGGCTCTACAGTATGATTACAACAAARATGGTAGTTTATATCTTGTGCAGGAAGTGTGAACAGGTAGCTGCGGGTTGGATAAACAGCCTTTTGTAGACACACCTATTTATCTGTGTTGTGTAATGGCGTWAAAAGGGTAGCTTGCTGTCTCATGCTTGTTTGAACACACGCTGACAACCAGCTCAGGTTCGCTCTCACTTTCTCAGCTTAATCCCCCTAGAAAACAAAAACCACATGATAAAAATAATATCTACTGTCCTTCAGCTCCGTTTCTCCACGTAGGGTCTTCTTATAAAGCTCTACCAGCCGCATGATTAATTGTCTATAAACAGCAAAACTGCAAGGGAGAAACCTCTGACTGCTTTCTCACAGATGTCGCTTTCTTGCCTGCAGTAATTGCCACATTATGAGCCAATGTCAACTCCAGACGTGCGCAGGCTTGCCGCTATACCCTCAATCCCAGGYTTTTATCGTCAGCCGACTGGCTGCTGTGACATATACTCAATAAGGCTTTGCCTTGTTTGCCAAGCCTTTTACCTCGAATCACCTCTTCCCCATGCAAAAAGCGCTGACTGAATGAGATGCAGAAGAGGGCTGTGTGGTTTACGGGGCTCGTGTGTGTTTTTATTTCTACTTCTGCAAGCAAGTGAGTGTTTGTGTGGATTTACAAGCATGAATTGAGAAATCCAGCGGGCAGAAATTAGCCKGCTTTATGGAGAGCTTTAATAGTTTCTCTGGAAGGAGCTGCAGATGTTTTCTTTTA